GAAAAAAAAAAAAAAAAGAGTAGCATGTGACTGCTGGGCATGGTAATTGCATGCCTGTAATCCTAGCACTTGAGAGGCTGAGGCAGGAGGATTGCTGAGAGTTCAAAGCCAGCCTGGCCTACATAGTGAGTTCAAGGCCAGTCTGAGCTACATAGCAAGACCCTGTCTCAAAAAAAAAAGAATAGCATGTGATCATTTGATTACATTATCTTCACAGCATGTCATTTACTTTTCAAAATGTCTGACGACAAAGGATGGAGTTATAGCTCAGTGACAGAACATTTGCCTAATATGTGCAAGGCCCTGGGTTCAATGCCCAGAGCCATTAAACAAAAAACCTTGGGTTATTCATCTGTTCATGAGTTTTAAGCCTTGTATTCCAAGGTCTTGAATGTAGATGTTAATAGTGTTTGCAGCTTCACTTCATTTTCATTTTAGCTCTTCCAGATTAGTCCAGTCTTTGTCCTTGTTCTCCTTGTACTTATTCTTTCATTTACTCTACAAAAATTGAGTGTGTATTATAGGCCAGCCACTGTTTTAGGTGTCAGGGGTGGATAGGTGAAGACAGACAAAAAGCCTTGCATTCATGGAGGTCACATTTTAGTCTGAAGGAGACAGACGTTTTTTTTAAAAAAAGGAAGTGACTAGTATGCCCGATGGTGATCAGCAGTTCAGAGAAAAACTTAAGCAGAGAGGAGGAATGGGTACAAGTAGTACCTTTAAATAATGTGGTCAGAATGGGTAAGAAGACAATATCTGAGGAACGGTCTAAAGGAGATAAAGGTAGAAGTACATGGTTATCTGGGGTAAGAGCACTGTAAGGAGAAGGAACAAAAGATTCAAGGTCCCTGAGTCGGGAAAGTACCAGAAATTTTCAGGGAAATCAGAGGATCCAATGCATCTGGAGCAGAATGGCCCGGGAGCCCAGTAGTCCAAGACCAGATCAACCACAAAGGTCCCTAAATATGATCACCAGGAGTCACTGGCTTTTCCTCTGAGTGAAATCAGCAAACTCTGGGTAGAGAACGGCTGGGGTGTTATTGTTTTATTCAGCAGCATTACCTATATTCACACTGTTGTGCCACCACCACCAGCATCCATCTCCCACACTGAAACCCTGTGCCCATCAAACGAAGTCCCCAGGCCCTCCACTGCATCCCTACTACTTTCTGTCTCTATGAATTTGACTACTCTAGGTATTGCATATAAATGAAATCATACAGTATTTATCCTTTTATGGCTGACTTATTTCCTTTTGCATAATGTCTTCAAGATTCATCCACTCTGTGGGATGTTTCAGAATTTCTTTCCTTTTTAAGTTTGAAGAATATTCCAATGTAAGTATGTTTCACGTTTTGTTTATTCGTTTATCCATCAATGGACACTTGGCTAGCTTCCCTCTTTTGGCTACTGTGAATGCTGCTGTTATGAACATGGGTATGCAAATATCTGTTTCAGTTTCTGCTTTCAGTTCTTTGGGGTATACACCCAGAAAGAGAGCTGCTGAATCATATGCTGTTAGGGTTTAAATATGAAGGGTCGCCAGGCATGGTGGTGCACGCCCGTAATCCCAGCACTTGGGAGGCTGAGGCAGGAGGATTGCTGTGAGTTTGAGGTCAGCCTAGGGTACATAGTGAACTCAAGGGCAGCCTGAACTACACAGCGAGACCTTGTCTCAAAAAAATTATATAAAAAAAAATATGAAATGTCCTCCAAAGACTCATGTATTGAGGGTTCGATCCAGAGGTGGGGCCTAAAAATGTGATAGGATCTTGATGGTTTTAACTTCATTGGTGGATTAATCAAATTTGATGGAGGCAATGGAAAAAGAGATGGAGCCTAGTTGAAGGGTGAATCATAGGAGTGTGACCTTGGGGACGTCGTCTTGTTCCTAGCCTCTTCCTTTTGAACTTTTTCCCTTTCTCCTTTCTGGCTGCCAAAAAGTGAGGAACCCTCCCCTGCCATGCCTTTTGCCATGATGTTTCTTCCCCACACAGGTTTAAAAGCAATGGAGCCAGCCAACCACGAACTGAAATCTCTGAAACCATGAGGCAAAATAAATCATTCCCCTTTTAACGTTCCTCCTTCTCAGGTATTTGGTCATAGCAATGAAAAGCTAATGTGAGCCTGGTGTTCACAGACGTTTGAATCTGAAAGAAAATTTAAGAGTTACCAGCATGTAGAAGACATTAAAAATAATAAGTTTGATGAAATCACCTGAAGAATGATTACAGACACGGAAAAAAGAGAGACCAGGGACTGAGCTCTGGGACACTCCAGCAACGAGACCAAAGAACACTAAGAAGGGCCGGGGATTTAGCTCAGTGGTTTCGCCGCCTGCTGCGCAAGCTCAAGGACCCGAGTTCGATCCCCCGTACCAAAAAAAAAACAAACCAAAAAGACCCCAAAGAACACTAATAAGGGGATGTCCAAGAAGTGGGAGGAAGTCGCGAGGTTCGGCATCCTGGAAAGTAGCCTGATAAGGGCACCAAGTGCAATGGCCAAGTTTCAGTTTTCTTACATTAATGGTCAGCATCTAACATGACACAGTTGGCTACTTCCTCCTCCTCCAAAGGCTTTCTTCACTTGGCTTCCAGGATGCCGAACCTCCTGACTTCACCAGGCTCACATTTGGATGTGTAACAGGCATATTAACTTTAATGAGTCCAAAACAAACTTCTGATACTAAACTTCCCCCCCATATCTATAAATAGCAACCTCATTCCTCCAGTTGTTCAAGCTAAAAACCCAGGAGTTATCATTCATTCCTTACATTCCCCAGAGATTGCCTCTAAATTTTCCTCCATACTCCTCCAAACTCTGGCCCACAGGTTGCCCCCCCCCACACACACCCGGTTTGTGCGCGTTAAATCAACCCGAAGACAAGGAACAGCCGCTGCGCAGCTGGTTTCACAAAGGAGGGCGGTCCTAGTTCTGCGATCCTTGAGGCTGGTGTTGGAGCTCCAGCCAGAACCTTTCCCGTCCTCCCCACTACTCCCTATTCGCCATGAGTAAATCAGCCAAACAAGGCCCACAGAGGCCACCGTACTAGAAATCCTCAGAAAGAGTTGCAGCTGGTGGGGGTGGGGCCCGAGGACAGGACTGAATAACGATTGAACCCAGAGTTCAGAGGCGGAGTTTTTTGGTTTTTGTTTTTTTAATTTTTTTGTTTCAGAGGCGGAGTTTAAAGGCGAACTCGGGATTGAGACTGGACAGAGACCAGGGAGGCAGGGCCTAATGATGGGACGGGGCGGGGCTTGAGGGGGCGGGGCCGTGTCGGAAGTCAAAGGTCGGTAAATAGTGGTGATGTCAGGCAGGCAAGATGGCGGAAGGGTGAGCCCGTCCTTCCACTCCCAGGAGTTGGGGCCTGAATTCTCTCCCAGGGGCCGGGTCCTGGGCCGGGGTCCCCCAAGGGGAACAGGAAGTTAGTGTGGGCATGGACGGAGCTGAAAGGGCAGAGTTGAGATGCAATGTGAGGGGGTAGGGAAGCGGCCTGCGAAGCCTCGGCCCTCGGGCCACATCCGAGGGGGAAACTGACCATTGGGCGGGCAAGAGTCGCATTCCAGGGCCGCCAGATGTGTCTGTCTTCCACAGGGAGGACGTGGGATGGTGGCGGAGCTGGCTGCAGCAGAGCTACCAGGCAGTCAAAGAGAAGGTAAGCCGGGCTAGCGCCCTCTTCTCCAGGCCGGGCCCCACGACGCCTCATCGCAACCTGGTCCAACCTGCCTTCCCGGTGTCCCAGGCCTCCCTGAGGCTGACCTGGGCCCTACTTTTAGCCCTTTCTGGCCTAAGGCAGGACGGGCCCCTACACAGACCAGTGTGATAGCCACAGTGAAACAACGATTGTTTAAAAGCTGAAACGACCCCTTCCTAGGAATGCATAGGAAAGAGCAATTCCAGATTGCAAAATTGACAGCTTCCTTGTGAAATAAAGAACATTTGGCCGAGCGTGGTGGTGCATGCCTGTAATCCCAGCACTCAGGAGGCTGAGGCAGGATAGTCGCCACAAGTTTGAGGCCAGCCTGGGCTACATAGTGAGTTCAAGGCCAGCCTGCACTGCATAGTGAGACCTTGTGTCCAAAACAAAAATAAAAGATTCACCATCACTGCTAAGCCAAAGAGGCATAGTTCTGTCCCTTAAAGCTCAGTCTGGGGGAGAGGCAAAATAGTCAAACAGCTGTCTACTTACTGTTGTGGTAAATGCTGATATATGAAACTACTGAGTACCTTGTCTAGTCTAGATAGTCAAGAACATGCCAAAGAAAGTGTTATGGGGAAGGAACTCCATCCAGGATAACCTTGCCTAGACAGGATGAAAAGGAAGAACCCAGGTCAGAAATGAGCATGAGCCGTACACATTGGTGCCTGATGAATTCTTATGTGAGGGGTTTAAAAAGAGGGAGAGATTAATGGTCAGAGAGTAGAAGGCCTTGAATGTCTAGCTAAGCAATCCCTAATGGATGAATGATGCTTGGCCTTGCCCAGTAACTGTGGAAAAACTAATTACTATTTACCTCAAGCCACTTGGGAGAGTCTTACTTCAGGGCACACTCCAGGAGGCTTCTGACCTCAGTTAAATCAGCTCCCCTACTCTGGAAGCATTCTTTCCCCTCAACCTGTGTACTGCTGGATGACCTCTCAGCTACAGCCCAGCAAATCTAAGAATGCCCGGAGCTGTTTATGTTGTTGGTGAGGGTTAAGAGGGAGAACTAAGAGACCCCAAAGTAGTGTGCTTCCAGTGGAGCATTATCATGGAAGAAAAGTGTGACATGCATTTGGTAAAGGTTACATGAGGCCTCCCGTGTGTTTCTAGGGTTGGGATTTACCATAACTCATGAGAAATAGGCACTTGGTCAGCTTTCCATCTTTGTTCTTTTTTTTTTGGTACCGGGCATCGAACTCAGGACCTTGCACTTTTGAGGCAGGTTGCGGAACCACTGAGCTAAATCCCCGACCCTCCATCTTTGTTCTTCTCTTTGTTGATTATGCTTAAATCAACAAAGGCAAGTGACTTTACCTCCCTAGGCCTCAGTTCCCCTACTGTAACATGAAAATAATGATACCTACCTATGGGAATTGTCATGGGATTAGACCATGCTAGAGAACGCTAAGAACAACACCTAGCGCATTAAGTATTACACAAGTGTAAACTATTTTTATTATGCGCTTAGGGTGATGGGGAAGCTTTTAGGCAATGTCACCAGGTGGTACTGCAGTGTGTCTTCCTCTCCTGATTTTTCATCTTCCCATGTACACACAAGTGCTTGTGCATACTCACTGACATAGAAGGGCACATATTCTTTGGCTGCACTGTAAATTCCCCACCCTCATCTGAGCCTGAGCACTTCCAGCATGCCTTTTCAGTCTAATTTGCTTCTCCTCCCCTTGACTTCAGTTGTCTTTTTTATTTCCTACAGACAACCTCACATACTTTCTGAAATTTGGAGTCAGTAAGCATGATCTTGTTCAATTCCTTTCCCACCCTAAAGCCACTACCTATAACTTATCTGTAGTCACACTCAGCTTTGCTTACCCCTCCGCACATCCAGTGGGTGTTTTCAGCCCTTATCTTCCTGGACCTTTCTGCTATATTTGACATTACCATTACCAAGTGCTCTCTTTTTGGTTTTTTATTTATATATATAAAATTTTATTGAAAGCAATGAAATGTAGCATGCATATATATATATATATATATATATATATATATATATATTTTTTTTTTTTTTTTTTTTTTTTTTTCTGTACCAGAGGGAGCTAAATTTCCAGCCCCTATCTTTTTCTTGAAACTACTTTTGGCTTTTGTGACCTGATATCCCCTCAATTCTCCACATACTTCTCCAGACTTTCCTGTCCATGAGTTCCTCTTTTTCCTGCTTTTTTTTGTGTGTGTGTGTGTGCTGGGCATGAAACTCAGGACCTTGCGCTTGTGAGGCTGGTAATGGAACCACTGAACTAAATCCCCAGCCCCTTCCCTGCTCCTTAAAAGTGGTATTCTGGGGCCGGGGATTTAGCTCGGTGGTTCCGGTGCCTGCCTCGCAACCGCAAGGTCCCGAGTTCGATCCCCGGTACCACAAAAAAAAAAAAGTGTATTCTGAGATCTTCTTAGCACACTGCTCTCTTCACTCTTCAGAATCTTCCTGGGGAGAGGGGGGTATGGGGATTTAGTTCAGTGGTTCCGCCACCTGCCTTGCAAGTGCAAGGTCCCAAGTTCAGTCCCCAGTACCAAAAAAAAGAAAATCCCACCTGCTTTAAACCTTTGATTGCTTCTCATAGTTGCCCTTGGCAACTTCTCCAGCTTTATTGCTCACCATTTCTGTTTTACATTTCATGTTTATTGGCACTAAAATGCTTCCTTAGGAAATTCCTATTTATTCCTCAGGGCTGAATCCAAGTTTCCCTTCCTCAAATCTTCCCAGCCTCCCCATAACATGCCAGTTACTGCTCTGCCCTTGCACATCAGCCTATTATGTGAGCATTTACCCCAGTATACTGTGGCCTTCTTAAGGGCAAGCACCATACCTGTTCATGTTTGTAGTGGACAGAGTGCAGCGCTTACAATCTAGTGGAGAAGGCAACCATTCGTTAAAGAGTTGTGTAGGTGGTTATATAATTAAAATTGCCCTGAGACATGTATGTTTTGTGTCAGACACCAGAGAATCATCAGTGAACAAAATATGTGGGCTCTGTTCATGGAACTCATAGCTTACCCAGGAAGACTGATACTGAGTGAGTAACGTAGAGTCTAACGCATGACAAATGTTAAAGAACAAGTAAAGCAGGGAAACCTCTCTATGAAAGTGACGTGAAAGCATAGACCTGAAGAATGAACAAGAATTAACCAGGTGAGAAGGTTCATTCAGTGTGCTTGCTTGCTTATTTGTTCTGAAGATTTGAAGTACCTTCAGAGAGAGGGATAATGTGTTCCAACTATGTAAGGGAGAGAAGATGATAGGACATTTGAGAAATTTGAGGAAGGCCAGTTGCAGCTCAGTGCAGGTGCATAGTGGTGGGGAAGGTAAGTCTGCCTGCAGCTGGGTTTTATAGACCATGGAAGTGAAGATAGAGTCTGTACTTGCTCTTACGGCAGTGTGTAAACACTGAAGAATGTAAACCAGTGGACAGTTTGGTCAGCCCTGACCAACAGAGCACCCACTGAGTGCAACAAGGAAACTGTAATAGAGGTATCTGATAGCTTCCATCTGGGAGGAGTCTAGATGGAAAGCAGGTTGGCTGGACTAAGGTGGTGGGAATGCAGATAGACAGAATGAAGCTCTGTGTCTGACTACATGATAAAAATAAAATTTCCCTCCACCCCAAATGCAGGGGTCTCGAGTCTGATATAGAAATATGAGTCCTGTCTCCCTCCCCTGAGAAGCCTCTAGTTTATACATGAAAAAGTCCCACTCACAGACTTCCTGGGCTAATGAAAGTAGATAGAAAACCCACCAGAATAGTCAAACATGTGCTTTAAAAATTCCAGGTGATTGATCCCTTGTAACATAAAAGAGCTTTTAGGGTGAGGTGAGCACAAAGATGGCCCAGGAAGGCATCCTAGAGATGCCGAATATGCTGTAAGCAAAGCAAAATATAGAAGGCTGTGAGGGCCTACAGTCTCAAGCTGGTCCTGAGTGTAGGCTAAGAAGCAGATTGGTTCAACAGAGCAAATATCAATTCAGCCCAGGGGCCTGGGGATTTAGCTCAGTGGTTCCACCGCCTGCCTCACAAGCGCAAGGTCCCAAGTTGAATCCCTGGTACCAAAAAAAAAATATGTATATATATATATCAATTCAGCCCAAAGGAGCTTCATGGGGTCTATGACTAAAACCCATGAATGGTGGAATTGAGAAGGCCTGGGGGAGAATCTGCCCCTCCTTTCTTTGATTAAAAAAAAAAAAAAATCACACACCTTTTGTCAAGTTTTTGATTGGTTCTTTTTATTTGGTTGGTTGGTTGGTTGGTTTTGTGGGTTTTGTTTTATTTGTTTTTAGTGGGCTTTTTTTGAGACAGAGTCTCACTGTGTAGCCCAGGCTGACCTCTCAAATATGACGATCCTTTTTCTCTACCTCCTGAGTGCTGGGACTACAGGGAGGCACCACCCCACCCACTGCTATCAAGTTATTTGAAATTTGAAACAAGTATGACTTAAAACATATCAAGCAGCTCATCAAGCCTGTTTTGTTTTCAGGCTGTAAGCATCCCTTTCCACAGACTGCTCTTGAGAATCACTAACCTAGTCCACCTCCCATCTTTTATAAGGAGAAAACCAAGCACTAGATGAGACTCACTCATGGCCATATAGCTGTGAGTGCCTGGGCTAAGGTGCAGGAATTCCCCTGTGCTTGGTGCTGTCCAGTAATCCCAGATCGTGGAATTGAGACACCTTAACACTGTCACCAAGGCCAGGCTCCTGTGTCTCTTGAGCGTTCTGTGTGTGTTTGCTACTAAAGAAGCACAGGGGACAAACTGGCTCTGGTACCCTTTTCTGTCTTCCCACAGTCCTCCGAAGCTTTGGAGTTCATGAAGCGGGACCTGACGGAGTTTACCCAGGTGGTACAGCACGACACAGCATGTACCATCGCAGCCACAGCCAGCGTGGTCAAGGAGAAGCTGACTGTGAGTACTTGCCCACACCTCCAGCGACCACCCCTTACAGCCTGACCTGCCCTGGGATCCTGGGGGGACTTGAAGCCTTTCTGTTAGGTGACTTGAGAAATATGGGGATTGTTTTTTCCTCCCACTTTGAAAGAATAGTGTTTGTGAAGCATACATGTGTATATGTTAAATACTAATTGCTTTTTCTACTTCCGAATTATTTTAGCAAATGTGTTCTAGTAGCAAAGTCATTCATTGTAGAAAATTTAGAAAATACAGCTAAGCCAAAGAAAAGAGAAGGCTATCCTGGATATACCCATAGTTCTCTGGCCCAGAGATAACTGTTACTCTTTTGAGGATATATCCCCACATACCCTTTCTTCTTTAAAAGTGGGATTAACTGAAAACTATGTTTTTTAACCCACTTTTTTACTTAATCATTGCAAACCTCATTCTGCAAATGATGTTCAAATGGCATTAATTCTATTACATGGATTTAACTAGTTCCCACTTTCCTAATTTCAGTTTTTCTAGGGCTGGGGATTTAGCCCAGTGGCACTGTGCCTGCCTCATAAGTACAAGGTCCTGAGTTTGATCCCCGGTACCAAAAAAAAAAGTTTTCCTAGTATAGTACCCAGAGCTACAGTGAGCATTCTCTTTGCTAAATTTTTGCCTATTGCCTCTTTATCTTTTTTTCTTTTTTTTTTTAAGGGAAGGTCTTACTAGGTTCTCCAGACTGGTCTTGAATTTATAATCCTCTTACCTCAGTAGCTAGGATTATAGGCATGCATCACCACACCCAGCAAAAAAATATTCTTACTTATTTTAGCCACGCTTGTTTTGTGGCAATTTATATTCTCATTGCCCCTCTTCTTATTAGTCAGACATGTACAGTAAAATCCTCTTGTGAAATAGGAATTATAGAGTCAATGTGAAAGGTGAAAAATGTTGATGGTCACAAGGGCCAGGGATTTAGCTCAGTGGTTCCACCGCCTGCCTTGCAAGCACAAGGTCCTGAGTTCAAGCCCCGGTACCAAAAAAAAAAAAGATATCTTCACATATCTCGTAATTTTCCAGTGAAGTACAGTATACCTGTTATTTTTTTTCAGTATACCTGTTTTTATATTAGGTTTTCTGTTAGCATTGGAACAGATTATAGTTTCTCCATTTGATTACTAGTTGAATGAGTCACCTTGAGATTAGAGGCCATGTTATGAAAAACAAGTTTTGAGCTGGGCACAGTGAGATGTGTCTGTAATACCAGCTACTCAGGAGGCTCAGGCATATCTCTTGAGCCCAGGAATTGAACACCAGCCTGGGCAACATAAACAGTGGCCTGTTTTACAAAAAAAAAAAAAAGGAAAGTAAATAAAAGAACTCAGGCAAGTAAATCTGGAAGGTTTTCATAGCAAGCTTATTTTATTGAATCCTTTTATAAAATATTGTCTATTTGCTAACCACAGCTACTGATAGGCATGAATGAGAAAGAGTAGCCATGCCAAATTGCTGTAAGTCTAGCCAGTAGCAGAGATGCCACTTACTTATTCTTTTACCTCTTTTTCATTCAAATATGATTGGATAGTTGTAGCAATATGTGCTATGTACTATGACAGATTCTAGGTTTAAAATGCCTGGGTAGCTTAATCAAGAGTATTTCAGTTTTCCACAAGGTTGTTGGATTGTGACCTACCTGCTGGAGGGCATTCTGACCCATATGGCTCAAGCTTGCTGTCACACCTTCCCTTTCCAGGTGGTCCATATGCTGACCCTTGACTAGTTTCCAGGTCCCAGGCAAGGCAAGACTGTTCTTATCCTACCCATATTTCCCCAACCTTTTGTACAAAATATTCTACTTCCTGAACAATGATGATAGAATTGTAATATTACAATTCTGCTACTTACTAGGTTTTTGCTGTGTCCTGGGTATTATCCATGCCTTTTAGCTTTCACAGTAATCCATGAAGAATATATATTTATCTGTACTTTACAAATCAAGATACTTAGACACAGAGAGGCTTTATGTCTCATAACCAACTAAGTATTACATCTGGGATTCAATTTCATGTCTTACTCCAAAGCTAGTACCTTTTCCAACACTGACTACCCACAGCCCTGCTGAAATGTCTATGACATGGTCCACTCATTCTTGCCTGTTTTTTTGAGACAAGAGTCTCACTATGTAGTCCAGCCTGGTTTCAAACTCACTGTGTAGCCCAGGCTGGCCTTGAACCCATAAGCATTCCTCCTGCCTCAGCCTCTTACATCCTGGGATTAAGAGTAAACTATACTCACTTTACTCTTGCCACTTTTTGGGGTAGGGGATGTTGATATAGGGCCTTGCTATGTATTTCAGGCTGGCCTTGAATTCACTATGTAGCCTAGGGTGGCCTCGAACTCACAGCAGTCCTCCTGCCTTAGCCTCCTGAGTACTGGGATTACAGGCATGCTCCACCACGCCTGGCTTACCACTTTTAGTTGGTAGGTTTTCTCTCTCTTTTTTTTTTTTTGGTACTGGGGATCGAACTTGGGACCTTGCGCTTGTGAGGCAGGCACCGGAACCACTGAGCTAAATCCCCAGCCCTTGGCTTACCACTTTTTAATCAGCCTGATTGGCCTTGACATTTTGATGAAACAGTCAAGAATCTCTGCTCTGATCTCTACAGGCCTCCCACCCTGTTCTGCATTCTCAGCTGGTGGAGAAAGAGTCTTGGCTGCTTTCTCTCCTTCAGCCCCTGAGATAAGGTGAAGGATCTGTGAACATTTCCTTGGTCCTCACACATACTACACCCTTCCCCTGATGCTTCCCACCTGCTGCCAACCCACCCCCATTTCCTAAATTTCAGCCTGTTCCTGAGGCACTTGCTTCCCTCTTGGTTCTCTCTACAGACCGAAGGCTCCTCAGGGGCGACAGAAAAAATGAAGAAGGGATTGTCGGACTTCCTTGGGGTGATCTCAGACACCTTTGCCCCCTCGCCGGACAAAACCATCGACTGTGATGTAATCACCCTCATGGGCACACCCTCTGGCACGGCTGAGCCCTATGATGGCACCAAGGTATTCACCAGCAGCTTCTGCTACAAATGCTGGGCTTTAGCTTCCAACTTTTACTCACAACAGCAACATGTGTTCAGGCCAAACAAATATATGTATTTAACCAAATTGGAGAACACCAATAAGGAGAACAAAATTACTGTATTTCTAAGCCCATAATCCTGTTATCCAAAGACAACCCTGATTCCTTGTTGATATATAACTTTTCATTTGTTTTTGTTTGCAACTATAGGTAAAGATAATTTGGGGTTTTTTCTTTTTTTGTTGTTATTATTGGTTTTTTTTAATATTAGAGATTGAACCCACAGGCCTCACGCATGGTAGACAAGTACGCTGCCACTGAGATATACCACCAGCCATTTTTGGTATTTTTGTTTTTTCTTTGAGGTACTAGGGATTGAACCCAGGCTCACTCAACTCCTGCGCCACATTCCCAGCCCTTTTAGAAAATGTTTTAAATTTTGAGACAGGATCTTACTAAGTTGCTAAGTTGTCCAAGTTGGCCTTGAACTTGAGCTCCTCCTGCCTCAGCCTCCAAAGTAGCTAGGGTTACAGGGTTTTTTCTTTTTTTTTTTTTTTTTCTGGTACTGGGGATCGAAATCAGAACCTTGTGCTTACGAGGCAGGCAGCAAGCACAGCACTACTGAGCTAAATCCCTGGGCCCAGGGTTTTTTCTTTTTAGCAAAATAAGCACTGGGCCAGGGATTTACCTCGGTGGTTCCGCCACCTGCCTTGCCACCTGCCTTGCCACCTGCCTTGCAAGCACAAGGTCCTGAGTTTGATTCCTGGTACCCAAAAAAAAACCCCACAAAATAAGCACTTTATAATGCAACTTTGTAATAGGTTTTTTTGTGTGGTTTTTTTTTTTTTTTGGTACTGGGGATCATACTCACGACCTTGTGCTTTCGAGGCAGGCGGTGGCACCATTCAGCTAAATCCCTGAGCCTGTAATATGCTTTTTTTTTTTTTTTGTCTGTTTCCTGATCACCATCACTTTTAATGTCTTTAAAGTCTTACAAGTGAGTATAGCATTATTCAGTTATTTCCTTAGTGTTACACATTTGGATTCCTTTCAGCTTTCAACTTTATAAGCACATTGTGGTGGGCCGGGGATTTAGCTCAGTGGTTTTGCCGCCTGCTGGGTAAGCGCAAGGACCCGAGTTCAATCTCCGGTACAAAAAAAAAAAAAGCACATTGTGGAGAGCATTTTGGAAGCATCATTTTCTCGACACCTCAGACTAATTTCCAAGCCAGGTGCAGTGATCCATACTTGTAATCCCAGTTACCCAGGAGGATAAAGCAGGAAGATCACAAGTTCAAGGCCAACCTTGGCAACACAGCAAGATCCTATCTCAAAAAAGATTAATGTCCATTATGAATAAATGTATAGGCAGAAAGAATGTCTTCAGAGCAGTTAAATCAACAACCCTAGTGGTGTATTTTGTGCCACATTGTTCTCTCATCATTGCTTCTCCTCTTTCATGAATTGTTTTCTCCTAAATTCTCAGTGTGCTGTCATGGGATTTGGGCCTTCTTTGTAGCATTTGATCACACTGAATTTCCACTCAAAACATATTGATTTTTTAAGCCTGTTTTCAGCACTAGCATTAGTACCACCACTGAGCGAACATGTGGAATTGCACTAATTATTAAATAAGATTTTAAATTATAATGACTCATCACCAAAACCACTTGCTGAAATTCTGATGTAGATAGACACAGTAATATCTTCATATGATGGAGCAGGAGTAGGGGGTTCTATTTATCAGCTGAAGTTTGCCTGTTCCTAATGGGAACACTGTTTATAATTTACTTGGCAGACAGGCTATAAAATTAAGGTGTTTTTTTTTTCTGTTTTGTTTTTGTTGTTTTGGTGGTGGTGGTGCTGGTGTTATGCTGGCCTTGTGCATGCTAAGCAAGCACCATACTGCGAAGCTCCAGCTGCACCCCAAGAAATCTTTGTGTGTTTGTGGTACTGGGGATTGCAGCCAGGGCCTTCACATTGAGCTACATGTCCAGCCTTATTTATTTGCTTATTTAGTTATTTGGTTTTGGGGGGTTTTTTGGTACTGGGGATCAAACTCAGGACCTTGTGCTTGCGAGACAGGCAGTGGAACCACTGAGCTAAATCCCAGCCCTGCTTATTTATTTTTCTCTTTTTTTTGGTACTGGAGATTGAACTCGGGACCTTATGCTTGTGAGGCAGGCAGCAGAACCACTGAGCTAAATCCCTGGCCCTATTTTTGAGACGGAGTCTTGCTGAGTTGCCCAGGCTGGGCTGTAATTTGCAATCCTCCTGCCTCAGCCTCCCAGGGTGCTGAAATTACAGGTGTGTGCCATTATACCCAGCTACGAAATGTTAATGACGGGTTTTAATTTGGGTGTAGTTACATTATTTAACAATTTGCCCCTTGTGTTAGTTACTGTTGTTGCTGAGACAAAATACCCGACACCCAGAGTTAAAAGGGAAGAGGTCGGGCCGGGGATTTAGCTCAGTAGTTTCGCTGCCTGCTGCACAAGTGCAAGCGCAAGGACCTGAGTTCGATCTCCGGTAGCAAAAAAAAAACCAAAAAACGGGGAAGAGGTTTATTTGGCCTACAGTTTGTAGAGGCTTCACTCCATAGTTGGCTAGCTCCAAGACGGGGATGGCAAACAGACATTACAGAGGAGAAACCACATGCTGGGCACAAGGTAGCAAAGGCAACAAAAAAGGCCTTCACCAAGTTTTTCTGCCTCTTTTATCCCATCCAGACTACTGGAATTAGGGTGGTACCAAAATAATCACTCACATGTAGTGGTTTAGTAATCACACACTCTTAACCCCAGTATCACACATTCCAGATTCAACTACCTCTGAAAAAGAAAGTCCCACCTCATCTGCTTGAGGCTTTGGGGGGACATTTAAACACAAACCATAACACCCCTAAAGCTGAACTTTATTAATATATTTGTCCTTGACATTTTTCAAATTTCGCATAAACTTTAGAAAAATTTGTACATATAATTTTGTAGCCTGCTTATACTATATTTCCTTAGTTCCCAAAGAGTGAATTACTAGGAGCCCCATTTTTGGACTAAGCACAGCCCCAGTGCTTATTCTTAGGAACCTTGTATGTTTAGTAGCTAGCAGGGAAGAAGCTGGGTTGTAGTACTTTGCAAAGAGGTACTGCTGTCTGTCCCAGCACCCCAGAATCTCTTGTCTCTCTTGTTCACAGGCTCGCCTTTATAGCCTGCAGTCAGACCCAGCAACGTACTGCAACGAACCTGATGGTGAGGGGATCACATGAGGGTGGGCTTGTGGTGCAAGTAGACTAAGCGGACATGGGTATGGGCCCTCTTTGTCTCAGATAGCAGAGGCCAAAGACCCTCAATGAACAGGGACTCTGTAGACTGTGTAGTGTACGCTTTATGCTCTCTGGGATGGGCTGATGGTCACTTTCCTCCCCGAACCTTAGCTGGCTTCACCCCAGCTCTGCAGAGGTTTTGTTCCTCTGGTCCCACAAGCTCAGCCTCCTTCCCAGCCCTCCACCCTGCCTACCTTCCTGTCATCGCCCCCTGTTCACTCAGCCACTGCCACACATCAAGCGCCTTACTGGAACTAAGGACCAGAAATGAGTCAGGCTCTCCATCTGACCCAGCTCTCCTGGATGAGGCTGTTAGGAAGGAGAACCAGCAAAGAGGGAATAAAGGAGAGATAGTAGAGAGGGGAATCGAATGACTGCTTCTGCTAAAAGACAGGCAGAGGAGTGATACCTTACCCAGCCTGGAAGCCCAGGAAATGATACTTGAATTGAAGTGGTTTTTTTTTTTTGTTTTTTGTACCAGGAATTGAACTCAGGGTCTCAAGCCTGCCAGGCAGGCGCTATGCCACTAATCTACATTCCTGGTCCTGAATTGAGGTTTTAAGGATGAATTACAAGTAAACTAGTTTTATTTTTAGAAGAAAAGGTAATAGCAGGGCCAGGGATTTGCCTCAGTGGTACTGCTCCTGCCTTGAAAGCACAAGATCCTGAGTTCGACCCTGGTGCCACAAAAAAAAAAAAAAAAAAGGTAGTAGCATACTTGAAAGTTCAGAAAGAACAAGAACCCCTAGATTTTTTGGTGACAGTGAGTTAAACAGTATGTGTGTTGGAGTAAAGGCAGCCAAAGCACTGATTGATGTGAGCCAGCTTGAAGTGGCTCTTTGTGCCAAACTAACCATTGAATTTCATTCTAAAAAGCTCACAGTAGTGGTTCTAGACCTTTTTTTTAGTAACAGAAACCTTTAAATACCTGTTGAAAATGGCAAGCCTCCTCTCCACAAAATTTTGTGTGCAGAATGGGATTCTTTGACCCTTTGAAGATCATCTGTAGATCCTAGTTTAAAAAGCCCTTCCGCTGGGGGTTTAGCTTAGTGGCACCTTGCCTGCCTTGGGTCCTGAGTTTGATCCTTGGTACGAAAAAACAAACAAAAAGCACTGGCACACACCTGTAATCCCAGCACTCAGGAGGCTGAGCCAGGAGGATCACAGCAAGTTTGAGGCCAGCCTAGGCTACCTAGTGAGACCCTGTCTCAAAAAAACCAAATAAACAAAAAAAGCCTTCCCATAGAGAACTATCGAAGGATTTTGAGGCCTAAGATGGTCAGATTTTGCATTTTGTAAAGCAGCTCTTGCAGTATTATGACAGATGAAGGAAAGAGAGAAACAAACAGGAAGATCAATTCAGAGCTTGGTAGGAATCCCCGTGTTAAAGGAAAGGCCAGATCCTAGGAAGAGGCAGGTGAAATGAAGAGTAGGGAGTGCAAAGAAACACTGAGGAAGTGGGATCAGAGCAAGTAGAGTGGACATGGTGGCACACACCTATAATTCCAGCCCTTGGGAAGCTGAGATAGGAGGATCACCAAGAGTTAAAGGCCAGGCCGGGCTACATAATGAGACCTGTCTCAAAAACAAGAATTAGTGAGTAGATAAGGGAGAAGTCTAGGATGGCCCACTGTTTTCCAATGGATAACTGTGTGGGAAGAAAAATGACTGCAAGCTGTATTTGCAGCTATACCTGCAGCCCTGGAAGGTAGTTTGGTTTGCAGAGAGAGACACAGGAATGGCCAGTGGGAGGAGGGGACTGAAACATGTGGCTTAATGTGGATTATCTTGGGAGAAAGTAGAAAGTAAGAAGAGGTAAAAAATGGAAAGGAAGGGCTGGGGATCTAGCTCAGTGGCACTGCCCCTGCCTCGCAAGCAGAAGGTCCTGAGTTTGATCCCTGGTACAAAGAAAAAAGAAATGGAAAGCAAAGGAAAACCAGGAGCCCATGAAGACTCAGATGGAACAACCAGAGAAGTGGAAGGAAGAGAAAAAAGAACAGCTCAGAACAAAAGCCAAGGGAAGAGAGCTTCCTGAGGAAGGCAGTGGCTCCCAGTGAGAAATGGTAGCGCAGTCACATGAGGGTGGACAGAGCCACAGGCACTGGCTCTGGCAAGGTGGGTCCAGTGGTGACCTGAGAGTACCTGTTTGGTGGGAGGAGGGTTCAGCAGCCAGGTGCAGTGGACCAAAATGCCACCAGGAATATGAGGATGTGGAGACAACTATCCTTTCTGGAGATCATTTAGGTCCCACACCCTGATCCCAGTAGGACCATCTACCCTTCCAGCCTACCTCACCTCCCCACCATGGGCCAAATGACTTTGAAAAAACTCATGTGCTTTCTTCATTGTCCAAGTCCAGGCTTAAGTACATTCTGTTAGGTCCATTGTTCTTCCCCAGACCCAGGAAACTGACTGTCAGCATCTGTTCTTCTGCAGGGCCCCTGGAATTGTTTGACACCTGGCTTTCCGAGTTCTGCTTGGAGGAGAAGAAGGGGGAGATCTCAGAGCTTCTTGTAGACAGCCCCTCCATCCGGGCCCTCTACACCAAGATGGTGAGGGTCCAGCCGGCAGGATCTTAGCTGGCTCCAGGCGAGAGATGTCAGGAGGTGGGCGGGGCGTGTGCAGTGGGAGACCCTATACAGCCAGACCTGCCATGTCCTGAGCCAAGAATCTGGATGGAAGAGGCTGATTTGCCAGGCTTCTGGCATTCAGAGAATGGTGAGAAATGGAAGGGCCAGCAAGCCTAGTGGGAGTTCTTTTCTTACTCCTTGGGCAAGGTAGGTCTGGCTGAAACTGAAATGGGGGTAGAAGGACTCTAACAAACCCTGCAAAGCTACCTCCTGTGTCTGAAATCCAGAATGGCTGGGAGGAGACCAATAAGACTGGGGACACAGACCCCATACAATACTCCCAAATTCTCACTTCCATTTTCCCTCTTCCAGGTTCCAGCAGCTGTTTCCCATTCAGAATTCTGGCATCGGTATTTCTATAAGGTCCATCAGCTAGAACAGGTATGTTAGTCTAGCCCAGAGAGGTCCCTGCTCAGACCTGGTGGAAACAGGCTGGATCCCTTCCCCCCATACTAGGGATTGAACCCAGGGCCTTTGCAGACAAGGTCTGCTAAGTTGTTAAGCTATCTGGGGTGGTCTTGAACTTGCTATACTCCTCCCTCAGCCTCCCAGAGTGCTGGGATTACAGGCATGTACCACCATGCCTGCCTTGAAGGCTGGACTTTGTTGAGGTAAAAGAGGGAGACGGTGTCAAGTTCAGGACCAACATCCAGGGGAAGAGGTCCTGACTCCTCCTGGTCATTGCTCTCCTACCCTCAGGAGCAGGCCCGGAGAGATGCCCTGAAGCAGCGGGCAGAACAGAGCCTCTCTGAAGAACCTGGCTGGGAGGAGGAAGAAGGTAAGAGGCGTTGAAATGTGATGAACAAGTGACTCGCCTGTCTGTGGGGCTCTTAGAGGCCTGGAGAGCTTTGTCACTCTAGCGAAGAGTAGAGAATGAACACAGTGTAAGTACTGAGCATAGGCAGTGCTGATGAGATGTCAAGTGTTACAAGGCTGGTGAAACCCCGAATTTAGGTGCAAAAATCACGTGTGATGGACCGGTTGCTTCACACTCCCTGGGGAGCATATTGAAAATCCAGATTGCCTTCCCCACCTTCTAAATAAGACTGTAGGGCCGGATATTTAGCTCAGTGGTTCCGGCGCCTGCCGAGGAAGCACAAGGTCCCAAGTTCAATCCCTGGTACCAAAAAACAAAACAAAAATACACCTTTGACCACATTCCTACAGTCTCATTTCTTTTTTAATTTTTGGTACCCGGGATCGAACTCAGGACCTTGTGCTTTCAAGGCAGGCAGCGGAACCACTGAGCTAAAACCCCAGCCCCTAAAGGTGTATTTTTAACAAGCCTCCTGGTCATGCTGATGCCCAGCCAGGTTTGAGAATTCCTGGGTTACGGTGGGAGTTGAGCTTCCTCTACCTGCTGCTCAGCTTAGAGAAGCGTGTTGTAGCCACTACAGTTACTTACTACAACTTTTATTAAAGTTCGTACTGTCTGCCCAGGCTACACTTGAGAGCTTCACATATGTAGTCCTTACCACACCTTCAGTATCCCTCTTTTACAGATGAAGAGGTAAGTTAAAAGTGAAATGGCTTACCCAGCCATACTCTAGGATGTAGTAGAGTTCGACCTGAACCCAAAACTGACCCACTTTCAAACTTTGGCTGTCTAATCTCTTTTCACTTTAGGTGGTATTGCTGACTACCCACCAGGGCCCTGTGCCTAGGCGGGACTTTGACTAGCAGGGAGTGTCTGCAGGAGATCCATGATGGTGTCGGGCGAGGGACATGAGCTCCAAGGTTGTCTTGGGGTTGGCCAGAATGCACTGCCCTCTTTCCCCCACATTTTTCTCTGTACAGAGGAACTCGTGGGCATTTCACCCACGTCTCCAAAGGAGGTGAAGGTTCCTGTGACCAAAACTTCCACATCCTCTGAGAAGGAGACTCACCCCTGTGAAGAGACTCCAGTGCCTGCAGTTGAGCCCCCAGCAGAGGTGACTCCTTCAGAGAGCAGCGAGAGCATCTCCCTTGTGACGCAGATTGCCAACCTTGCCACCGTACTTGAGGTGCCAGTGCTGCCCAAAAACCTGTCTCAAAAGCTGCTGGAGGCATCTTTGGAAGAACAGGGCCTGGCCGTGGATGAAGGCGAGACTGGACCTCCAGCCCCAGTTCCCTCCAAGTCCCTAACCCCTGCTGGCCGCCCTAGCGGCCCAGAGCCCAGGCCTCTGGCCAGAGTAGAGACTCTGAGGGAGGAGGTGCCCACAGACTTAAGGGTGTTTGAGCTGAACTCGGACAGTGGGAAGTCTACACCCTCCAACAATGGCAAGAAAGGTAAGTCTGGAACCCCAAGGCCAAAGGGTTGAGTGGGGCAGGAGTTGCCAATTTATAAGGCAGTTGTATCTCCTTGTCTCTTGCTACAATCCTAGGAGATTTCTTGCATTTGTGATATGGAGGAGGAAGACAGTTGCTATATACTTTTTATTACCATATTTCATCAAATCTAACATGCACATGTTCTCTGAAAGAAGAATGCATCAAAATTTCTGGAGTCTTAGGGTCAACAAAATCACATTTATACTAGGTTCCATATTAAAAGTTACGTGGCACTTTGTCCTCATTTTACAGGTGAAAAAAAATGCCCTAAAATGTTAAATAACTTCCTCAAACTAACATGGTCAGGAAGTGTCAACTCAGATTCAGACCCAAGTCTATCAGGCCATGCCCTTACCTACCAGGCTGTGAGGATTTCTGTCCTTTTGAACAGTGCAGGCTTGTCCTCGCTAGGAATCCCTGTAATGTTAATGTCAAGGGGTCTTGTTCCCTGTGAAACCTTAGAAAAGTCATTCAGTTTCCCTAAGCCTTCGTTATTATTATGAAATATGCACACAAAACTTAGTTTAAAGAAGAATGAAATGAACACCCATGAACTTAGGATGACCCAGCTTCAGTAATGGAGCTTCAGTGTCTTATCTGTAAATGGAGTTTTAGACTGGATACTGAGTTTGTCAAAGAGCAACCTCTTTAACTTCAGGAATTAAAGGACAAGGATAGCCTGGATGTCAGCTTTTTTCCACTTCCCAAATCCCTTTCCAGAACTTGCTAATTGTCAGCGAGACAATCCCCTCCCCCATTCCCTTGCACACATGCATGCTGTCATTGCTAACACTCAGTACCAGTCACAGCCACAAAGCTTGTCCAGCCATTGAGGCCTGGCCTACTGCATAGTGAGGGACTGTTTGCTGCAGTGGACAGGAAATGACCCCACCCAAGCCTGTCTGAAGAGCCTGTCTAGGAGGAGGAAGAACTGCAGGGTTTCTAGTCTCCCATCATAGTGCTTTCCTTTTTTTTTTCTTTTTGGTACCAAGGATCAAACTCAGGTCCTTGAGCTTGCTAGGCAGGCGGTGAAACCACTGAGCTAAATCCCTGGCCCCATAGTGCCTTCCTTCTGCCTGATTCCGTAAGGTCATCCATTGAACTACTCCTGCTGTTGATGAGACCCTGAGGTGGGAGGGGCAGAAGCTCTAGTCTTTGTGATGAAGTGTAAAAGCAGCATGGGACAGTGCTGTCCTGGAAGAGTTCAAAGAGAGAAGGAACCACTGAGAGCCAGCAGGTGTTGCGCCAAGGAAACATAAGAGAATTGGAGAGTTTGGGGTAGGGCTAGGGAGTGGTAGTCCAGGTTGATGGGGCACATCTAAGGGGTAATGACCAAAGCCCCCTTTTCTGTATTGCTCCCAGGAGAGGGAGGTCAAGAAGGGCAGGCAAAGCCAGGCATGGTGGCACACATCTGTAATCCCAGCACGTGAGAGGCTGAGACAGGAGGATCACCACGAGTTTGAGGCCACCCTGGGCTACATAGTGAGTTCAAGGCCAGTCTGAACTACATGGTGAGACCGTGTCTCAAAAAACAAAAACAACAACAAAAAAAAGTCAGGTGGATTGGCTCAGAGAGAGTTTAACAATTTCAGCTAGAATCAGAAGGTTGGGTTTGAGGCCATAAAGCAGCAAACCAGAGGCTAAAGGGCAGGCTCTGGGTTATAATTCTGGGTTCAAATCCCAACTTTGCTCATAAGCCATGTAACTTCAGAAAAGCTCCTGATCTTCTGTAAGCCTCTGCTTATTCCTCTAAAAACTGGAGGTAATTATTTCATGTAGGATCTCAGGGAAGAAATTTGAGTAGAGCCCCGCTTTGGAGAAATTATAAGATGGAACATTCTCTGAGCATTTTCTGTGTCTAGATCTATGCATATATCTCAGTCCTCCCAAAAGCCTTAAGGGATCAGTGCTGATGTCCCCATTTTTCTACTGTAGGAAACTGAGATCAGTCACCCAGCCAATAAATATTTAGAATAGTCCTGTTTTAGAGTTGCAGAGTAGGTGGTTGTTTTGACAGGTGTAGTGGGGTTTCTGGATGAGAGTTACCAGGGTTCACTTGAGGAGATGGTCAAGGATTTGAGACGAGACCAATTAGCCCTGTCGTACCTTGGCCTAGCTACGTTAAGTTGCTTGGGTGCAGGCTCAGAGCAGATGGGAGATGGGTTTAACTAGAGTTCAAGGCTAGCCAGCTAATAGCGTTGGAAGAAAAGAAGAAAATCCAAGTACATGCCAGAAATGATGAGAGTGGTAGCTCATAGAGTCTTAGTTGGGCAAAGAAAGGAATGAGGAATGGTGAAACAGAAGGTTAAAAATTATAAGTTCCACTGGGAACTATATTTTGAGTTGTAAAGAAGGTGACCAGGGCTGGGGATTTAGCTCAGTGGTTCTGGTGCCTGCCTCGAAAGCGCAGGGTCCCGAGTTTGATCCCTGGTACCAAAAAAAAAAAGAAGAAGAAGGTGATCAGTTGTGGTTGAAGGGCAGATGAAGTTGAGATTATAAGGGAGGTATGGAAGGGCTGGGGGTTTAGCTCAGTGGTTTTGCCGCCTGCTGCACAAGCGCAAGGACCCAAGTTCGATCCCCGGTACCAAAAAAATAATAATAATAAATAGGGGAGGTATGGAGAAAGCGCTTAACCATGCTGCTGTGCTGCCTCCGATGCACTAGGGCATGTGAAAGTAGGTCCTGGGACTGCAGAAGACCCCCAAAACAACTGTAGGCAGTTAGATGGGGGAAGCCAGGGATGTGGGCTAGCCTGGAACAATGAGAACACAAAAAGAGTAACTCTTAGGAAGAATGATTTCTTTTCCCTCTTACACCTACAACCTAGGATGATGTGCACTTGTCCTCTAGGTCCAACAGGGTCTCTTGGAGTGGCCACAGGTGGTCCCTGTCATTACAGAGTTTCTCCTGCCTGAATTTTGTCCCAGAACCTGTCTGATCTAAGAGACTGGACTTAACCTGCTCAGCTTCTCTCAGCAAAGGCAGTGGAGGGGAATGTGGGGCAGGCCTGTGGCCGATGGCCTTGGTTGAAGGCCCCACTTCACCAGTTACTGTGGGATCTGGGAACTACTTTTGTCTCCATTTCCTGAATAGGGGAGCAGAGAGCCAATTCAACAGAGTAAAATGAGCTGTGAGTGACAGTGCTTTGAAGTTAGTAATCACCTGAAAACAAGACAGAAAGCAGACTCCATCATGAAGTCTTAAGTTGTATAATCAGGTCTCTGTCACATGCACAGGGTAACAGAGATCTTAGTATGTTCCTCCTGTGACAGGACAAGATGGTGGGAGGAGGCTGATGTCAGGGAGCGCCCAGATTTCCCCCTCTCTCTACCATTGAAGCCTTCTTTTTCTCATTTGTGAAACTGGGACTGTCGATTTCCACTCCAGAGGGTGGAAATGCTCCAGGAATGTTAACTCGTTCTCTTTGTGGAAAGGTCTGCCACAGCATTCAAACTTGAAGGAGTTTCAAGTCCTAGAGGTTAGGCAGTGGTGGCGAACCTATGGCACACAAGCTGCAGCAGGCTGTTTGTTGTCATTGAAGCTCTAAAAGGTTCGCTATCACTGAGTTAGGGGAAACTCATGGCTACAGCTGCAACCTGTAACTGAGGAATCAGCCAGAGGTCTAGCTTCTGACCCACAGGAAGCTGCACTGCCAGCAAAATGAGTGCCACCCAAGAACAGGAAGGCTTAGATGCAGGCTCGGAAGATCTTGGTCTTAGTCACAGATCTCCGTGACTTGGTGTGGGACCATGTACAAAATTACTTAGCTCTGCTGGGCTAAGAAGCTGAGCAGGAAGCTGAGGCAGGAGAATCAGCTGGAATTTGAGGCCAGCCTGTGCTACATAGCAAGACACTTGTCTCAAAAAAACAAAAAAAATTTTACTTAGCTCGGAGACAAGCCCTTTAGGAGAAATATGGCTCCATTTGTTAAATATTTACTAGGTATGCATGTAACTGGTACTTCACACTGATACTTCTTGGTTGGTTGTTTGTTTTTGGTAGCGGGGATCGAACTGGGGACCTTGCACTTGCAAGGCAGGTGGTGGAACCACTGAGCTAAATTCCCAGTTCTCACACTAATACTTCTAAGGTCATTTTCTCAACTGGCAGGCCTAAGTCTCCACATACTCGTTATACATACCTTTATAAAGCAGAAACCAGGGCCACCATGTAGACCTCTTGAATCTCAGCAGGGGTGTGGGAATCTGCATTCTAATATGCCTCTCTGGTGGTTCTCTGCAAAGAGGTGGGTTTTATTTTTATTATATAATAAACAGCCTGAAGCCAAGAATCATTTGCCCAAGACTATACAGTGGAAAAAGGAGTAGATTCAACTTCCTGTCTTCAGAGACTGTGTTCTTACCATGGTGCTTGTGGCAGGAAGACAATGGAAGACGCCTTGTGAGGAATGTGGGC